GCTGCAGCCCCCCAATAATTTGCTAATAATCATTTTTTTTCAAAATCATGCAGACCTTTATCATTTAGTCCATGACAAACTGCAAAGAATGACGATATTACCCATACTTTTCTGCAACTTATCTAATATATAGTTAATTGAATACGTCTTCGCCCATTTAGTACTACTAAATTGTAAATTTCGACATACTACTAAAACGCTGTTTTCTGACCATTAGAATTCTGTCAAATCTTCCCCAAAGTCCAGGAAATGGCATTTCAGAGACTCTGAGTTTAAAAATTTCCTTGGGCCTTCGGCGGCCCTCGCTTTCAGCCCCCGCCCCCAATCGAAAAGAGCTTCCTACGGCCCTGATATATGCTCCTGTCGCAGTGTGGATTGGTGCATTGTGTAGCCCAATACATGCATTTGAATTGTGTTACTGCAGAGCAGATGCCTTAGCTTTTATACCTATACAATTTAAAAGTTTTGAGAAAAAAATCCTGCATAGATGAATGAGTACATAAAAATATTGAGCACCAAAAATTCACACAACTTCCCCATCAGATATCAAATGGTCTACCCCTTACCACATATATCCTAGGGGGCCAATTTTGTATATTTTTGTGTTATTTGCATCTCCAAAACTCCTACTTTTCTCCTACTTTTCTACACATTTTCCTACTTTATTCCTACTTTTCCTAAATTGCTAGTCCTACTTTTGTCCTACTTTTCTATACAAGGATGCCAGAAAGCCTGTATAAACATCACCCCTGATAAATATTACAGCGAGGAAGACGTGAATTCGTCGAATGCTTCACAAAATTTACGCTTGCACGTGTATTCTTAACAAAATATTGCAGTGCAAGGTGAGAGGAAAGTGAAAACTATGTTTATTTCACAACAGTTTTAATTTAGGATGATTTTTGTGATAATTAATTTGTATAAATCTAATTACATTAAATTTAGCATAATTGATCTAAATAGGATTTTATGTTATTACATCAAGTGATCAACGTATCTGCGCATGCCTAGCAGAGTAATACTATATATAGA